CGAACTGCAGAACTGCAGTCAGCTGAAGTAGCCTGCAGTGCTGCATTTAACCACTGCGCCACCTCGGCTCTCCAACATCTTCTTAAAGACTTCCAGTGTTGGAGCATTCACAACTTCTGGAGGCAAGTTGTTCCACTGATTAATTGTTCTCACTGTCAGGAAATTTCTCCTCAGTTCTAAGTTGCTTCTCTCCTTAATTAGTTTCCACCCATTGCTTCTTGCTCTACCCTCAGGTGCCTTGGAAAATAGACTGGTTATCATAGACCAGTGATGGCAAACCTTTTAGGCACCAAGTGTCCAAATTGCCCATGCGTGCCCAAACTGCAAGGCATGGGTGCATGCACACACACGCCCCGCACATGTGCTTCAGAGGCCTAAAGACCAGCTGGCTGGTGGGAGGCACACATGCATGCACGGCAGAGACCGAAAAGAGAGCTGGGGCGATGGCGCACATGCCCACAGAGGGCTCTGTGTGCCACCTCGGGCATGTGTGCCATAGATTTGCTACCATTTTCATAGACCATGGTAACAGATCCCTGGTTTAGTGCAAGATTACCTGATCACCATAAATTGTGATAATTTCTGTAACTTAATTATAGATCCAGGGAAGAAATTCTCATTAAATAATTGTAGCCAAAATCAAACATTTCAATAGAATCGAGCCAGCTCACCTGCCCACGGATTGAGGTCTTAGTGGTAGCATGCTTGAGAAGGCAGAAAGATTTAATTGCTTTAATTCTGAAATTTAATTATCCAGCTTTCTGGAAGTACACCATTACCCCATAGAGAGATTTTAAATTACACTCAAAATGTGGAAGCGATGTGTTTGGATCTTTCTCCTATGTGAAGGTGAATGGTCTTTAAGCATAAATATCACTCCAGTGTCCTAAATCTGAAGAACGATGGGAAAATGTTGTCACCATTGTAGATATAGACACCTGATTTATTTGAATGGAGCAGAAATTTATCAGTCCTCTAGGCATTCCGATACAGGTAGCCTTTGACTGAAAATAGTTTGTTTAGTGACTACTTGAAGTTACAACGGCACTGAAAAAATAGCTTATTAGTGTTGTGGCCCACCAGCAGCCTGTGGAGCTGGCAGCAGATTTGGACAGTGAGGAGGTTGGGGAGGAACCTGGGCCAGTCCTGGAGTCTGGGGAAGGCTCTGATGAGGGCTCTGTGTAGGAGGCAGAGAGGGGGCCAGGGCCGTATGCCAGTTCTCAGCTGCCTTTGGAATCGGAGATCAGTGGGGCAGATGAACAACTGTAGCCTGTTCCCAGCTTGCACATGCACAGAGTTGCCAGACAAAGGGAACAGCTAAAGGACAGGGGTCGACTTGGATGTAAGGCCACAGGTGGATGGTGAATGGCCCCTCCCATAGGGAATAAAAGAGGAGCGAAAAGGGAGTGGAGTTTGCAGGAGACAATTAGTTGTCTTAATTGGTTCATGACTCTCTGAAGCTCCTTGCCAAGTTCTGCAGATATCGGCCTGGCAGCTCTCCAAGCCAGATNAACCGCTGAACTGCAGATAGCAGTCAGCTGAAGTGGCCTGCAGTACTGCACACTAACCACTGCGCCACCTCGGCTCTGTTTCTGTCATGTTGTCATCATGTGAAGTATCACAACGTTTTTTCCCCTTTGCTAAACCAGGACTAGGCGTGGCCAGTGTGTGACGTATCCGGCCCATGGGCCACGAATTTGACACCCCTGCAATAGGTCATTGCTCATTCATCAGATGTTCACAGAATCCATGAATCATTTTATATATATATATATCCACAAAACTGCTCCATGAATCTATAGCAGTTATGTGTTCTTGGCTGTACCACTCAAATAAGTATATATATTTATGGAATAATTGGGACTGTAGCTTGGTTTTGAGCTCTTAATTTAAGGACCAGAAATAGATCTACAGAGAAACAATAACAGACCAGGAAACTATGATAAACATCATCAAAATATTCAAAGGTTTGTCTTATAGAAGACAGTCCTAAATTGACTTTGTTCAGTTCTCATTTTCAAGGGGTTAACCTCAGCTCTGAGCCTGGGCTTCTACTAGTAGATTCTTCTGCTACTAGATTCTTCTAGTAGAATCTAAAGATTCTACTTTAATCACAATAGGGGGAATTGATTGATTGATTTGTTTATTTAAATTTGCTGCCCATCTTGTTTCAAACATCAGCTTACAGTACACTAAACATTAAAACCACTAAAACATCGAACATAAAATGACAGAACACAAAATAGGGTAGGGGTAGGGTTTGAATAGAAACAGAAATAGAAATAGAAATAGCATAGCATAGCATATGGGATGAAACGAAATGGAACGGAATATGGAATGGAACGGAACAGAACAGCACAGAATAAATATTTTTCCCTACAATCGCTGTTCTGATCACAGCTGGATGAGAAGAAAAAAAACACCCATTAGTCCAGCTATGACTTTCCAGCATCATCTGAACTTTAGATATTAAAGCCTGGATGTTTTAAGGATGAGCAAGTTGTCCCATCCTGAAATCCTGCCAAGAATCACTGGCTGACAGTGGCCCAGGTGTCTTATAAGTTGAATATCTGTTTTCCTTTCTTATAGATTTGGTTTTGGATGGGAATAATAATATATATATAAGGAACAAAAGTGATCTGCCAAATTTCCAAGGAGGGAAACAATGGAGGGGGAAACAAATTTAAGGGTTAAGAGACGTGCAGAAGAGTTACCTCTCGGAAATTCTGTTCAAAATGTCGAAGCTGCAAACACTGCTCTAATTTTAGGTGATGCTTGGACCAAAATTGATCAAAAGCTCTTTCGGTCTCATCCAACTGGGCAAGCAACCTGTCAAAAGAATGGCATCTGATTCAGAAACACGATTTTTCTTCCTTTGAACTTCAAGGTACTGAAAATAAAGCCTAGATCAACCCATCTCTTTCTCCGTGGAGATGGGACAGTTGCAAAGCAACATTTAAACCTTTTAGTTGTTCATTTAACAGCCCAGGTTTGTTCCTACAAACTCTTGAGAAATAAAGTCAAACAAAGCATTCACGAATGGTCACTAAACAAATTGTTGTAATTCAAGGACCACCTGAACTACAAGCTGAACTACAAAACAGGCTACTTCCATGTCTTTACCTTTCCACTGTTGCCACATTTTCTAGTTCATCAGGACTGAGTCTGCTGGTGGTACTTCGTGAGACAGGTTCCCGGATACAAGTCAGTAGCATGGCTCCCTGCTTCACCGCTAGCTTCAGCTCGTCCTGCAGGACATTGGGGAACAGGGACAAAAAAAGAAGTTCTCATTTAATCCTAAAGTCCTGTAACGTCTTTTACGTATTGCTAGAATCAAACCTTGAGGATCAGAATTTTATTGAGTTACTAGTGATAACCCGGCATTGCCCGAGTATTTATTTATGCTAATCCTATATTAGACAGGAAAAGGAATGAATTATACCTATAGTTTCAAGTCAAAGTAATGCTGGAACATACACACACACACACACACATACACATGAACTTGAACCCAAAATGCACACTGTCACTGTCAAAAGTACTGTGATTTGACACTATAGATATAATTAATTACTTTTCATTTCAGCAACCTAGAGTTACAATACAATACAATAGCAGAGTTGGAAGGGACCTTGGAGGTCTTCTAGTCCAACCGCCT